TCCTCCCTGCTGCAAGAGAATCATCTTATGCTTCACTAATTAATTCACTATCCCACTCACAACAGTGGCTCTTCCGTAATCTCAAATCCTTCCTCATACCTCCCACAGGTTTCCTGTCTTCCTGTGCCCTCTCATCTGAGGAGTGTGCCTCACATTTTACTGAAAAAATTGAGACAATTCATGAAGACCTCCTTCTTCTCCCCTCCGTCTCACTTCATCTTACCAGGATACTTTCTACCACTATCTCCTTCATTCTCATCTTGCTTTGATGAGCTAGTCTTTCTCCTGCCAAGGCAAGTCCCTCTACATACACAGGTGATCTCATTCCATTCCATCTTCTCCAGCAGATTGCCTCTTCCATCATTCCCCCTCTCTCATTAACTTCAGTGTCTGCCTGTCCAGTGGCTGTTTCCTGTTGCCTACACACATGCCCATGTCTCCTCCGTCCTCAGACAACTCCCACTTGATCCATCCTTGATATCTGCCATCCCACATGTCTATTATCTTTTAATGGCTAAACTCCTAAGTTTAGAAGACCCTCTACAATAGATGCCTCACTTCCTTTCCTCTCACTCTCTGCAGTCTGGCTTTGAACATTCAACCAAAACTGCTCTCCCCAGAGTTATTAAATGTCTCTTAATTCCCAAGTCTAATGGCCCTTTTCTCAGTCCTCATCCTTTATGACCTCTCTGTAGCTTTTGGTGTTGTTGACCACCCTCTTCTCCATGGCACTCTGTTTTCTCTAGTTTTCCTTGGCCCTACTCTGTCCTGGTTCTCCTCTCATTTATTTTACCTCTCCTCCATCTACTTTGCTGGATCTTCATCCAGGTCATACCTGTTAACCATGGCTGTCCCACTGGGCTCTGTCCTTGCCTTATTCTTTTCTCTGTTTATACTGTTTCACATAGTGATCTCATCAGCTCCTGTGGATTCAAGTATTTCTAGGATGATGATTCTCAAATCTACTTATCCAGCCCTAACCTTATTGTATATTTCCATGATCTTAAATGCAGCATGTCCAAAACTGAATTTAAATCCTCTCCACTTCCTAACTTTCCTGTTACTATTGAAGGTGCCACCATCCTCCTAGTCCCCAGGCTCACAACCTAGGTGCCATCTTTGACTCTTCACTCTCTCTCACCCTCGTATCCAATCTGTTGCCAGGTCCTATTGATTTTACCTTTGCGTCATCTCCCATATATGGCCCTTTCTGTCCTCTGACACTTGGTATACGCCTTCATCACCTCAAGCCTGAACCAGTGCAGTAGCTGGTTGGTTTCCCTGTCACACATTTTTCCCCACTTCAGTCCATCCTCCTCTCAGCTGCCCAGCTGATCTTCCTAATGTGCAGGTCTGACCATGTCACGCCACTTCCCTCTACTCGATAATTACAGTGGCTCCCTGTCACCTCCAGGATCAAATCTAAAATCCTCTGTTTAGTATTCGGAACCCTTCAAACCCTAAATCCTTCTCACCTTTACAGTCTTCATATACCTTAAATCCCCCAGCACACTCCAAATGCAGTCCGTATGCCTTGGGATTCAGAGGTACCTCTGTGTAGCATTTTGCCTGGTCCGTTTGCTGTTTGCTTTTAATTCGTAGAGACTTTGGATTACAGCAATCTGTGAGCTCATTTATAAGCATTCAGTGAAAGAACCCATCATAGTCTCCTGCAATCAGTCCAACATTTATGCACAACCGTAATATGTGATCTTTAAGTGGCGCTGAAATTACCCTCATTTCCACCAGTAGAATTTCAGTTTCGTTCTTTTTCCTTCTGTTAGAAGTCACCTTGCTCCCACATTTTGGGGAGGGGGGTTGTAAATTTGTGTTTTTAAAAATAGATATATTTCAGTATAACTTGTTTTTTGTAACCCTATATGTTTTATTTCACACATTAAAAATCAGTATATTGAGGAGTTCATAGACTTTACCAGACTGCCGAAGAGTCCATGACACATAAATGAAAAATGCTGACCTTCTCCCTTTCTGACAAGGCCAACCCTAATCTTTTCCTTCTACCTCTAATTATACGTAGGTGGTTCAGTGGATAGAGCTCTGGGCCTGGACAAATCTGGCCTCAAGAAACTTGCAAGAAACAAGTCACTTAACCTCTGTTTGCCTTAATCCGCTGGAGAAGGAAATGGCAAACCACTCCACTATTTTTTGTCAAGAAAACGCCATGCACAGTACTGGCGTCCTGTGGTCCATGAGGTCACATAGAGTAGGACGTGACTGAACGAATAAGCAACAGCAGCTAATTGTGTTTCTGTGACTCAGAGTGACAATAACATTCAAGATTCTAATCTGCAAATACTGAGACCAGTTTGGGAGCCTCTTGACTGTTGAGTCTAGTGCCGCCCAAGCAGGCACTGTTGATATACATAAATCTGATGTCCCCAACTAGACTTGAATGGCCTTCAGAACTGTGTCTTGTGCTTCTCTTTCTTTCTCCACTTTGCCTAACATGGCACTCACCAGGCACACAGTAGGCAATAAATATTTGCTGCTTGTTTCATCTTTGAAAATACAGGATTATAGAAAACCTAGGGTTATACATCCAGAGTTAGAAGGGACATTAAGGATCCTTGAGTCTAACCCTCTCATTTTACAGGTGAGGAAACTGAGGGCCTGGAGACATTAAGCAGCTTACTCAAGGTCCCATAATATGTGGCATGGCTAGGATTTGAACCCAGGCTGTATGATTAAAAATCTAGTGATTTCTCCACTTCACCGCACAGAGTAACCAAAAAGATGAGTCAAGCATGAACAAATTGGAGAGTCACAAGGACTTCTGATGCCTGCTTAATAGAATAGAGTGGGAGCTCATAGCATTAGGAAAACTAGTTCTAGCTCATTATAATTTAAAGGAGTAAGCCCTTAATGCTGTAGTGTTGCAGCATTTTTGCAAAACTAGACTCAGAAATCTTAATATAATTTGGCTAAAGGACTCTTTCAATTTACTGATTGCTTGTTGTCTGCGTAGCAGAGCTGGGTTTTAAGAATGAAGATGGGGAGGAGGGGTGGAGAGAAGGTAATAATTGTTGAAGAAATAATATCAGAGTCTCCCAAATCAATTAGAACAATTACAGGGGGTCTTTGACTGGTATGAAGTCCTTATACCTATACAAACTCTCAACTAATAAAGAAGATGGAGAGGGAGTTTATCTTATCAAGAGAATTCTGAGTGGTTATTTATAGCTACACATCTCTCATTAATGCTGAAAATCAAGAGCAAAGAATTGATCTAAGAGAAAAGGAAAAAAAAATTCCAAGATATATGTGTGGTGTTAAATTGTGACAGATCAGTAACATAAGCCTCAAGGAATGCAGGATGAGAGAAAGAAGTTGCACCTTGCAGAGATGTAAACAACTGCGAATGGTTAGAACTTTCTGTCTGTAATATTTCTAGAACATTCTAGTGTATTATAGTCAGTTAGCCCAGAGGAGATCAATCTTGATTCTCTAGCTTGTGACATGAGTTAGTGGCCTAGTTGATTCAGCTAAATCTTTAAGGCCTTTTGATTCTACTTTACCCACATTGGAGATTTTACTCTTCTGCATCTACAGCCAAGCTAGAATTGAGGGATTATAGGCTATAAAGCAAATAGATAAGAAAGGAGGAAAGGGAACAAGAGATTGTGACGTGGCATTCCAAAACCTTTCTGATTTTTGCAAGTTGAGTTTTTGCAGTAGGATGATTGGAATGTGTTTGTACTGGGCTAATATAAGAGAGGTAATTGGTAGCCTTGGGATTTAGGGGATGGAGAGGGGAGGGAGGATAGGGCTAAGGGCCCGGTATACTATAAGTCCAAAGGTTTTTAAGAAAAGCTAAGAGGAACGCCATGAAAGGTGGGTTTGGTTCTGTCTCATTACCCTGCACCAAATTGGCAGCATCAGTTTTAATCATAAGGAAGGTTTTTTTGTCTTGTTTGTTCAGAAGAAATGGTAACAGGGTGAATTCACAAACAGGAGTGCAACAAACAAAAAAATCCTGAGTGTCATCTATTAATTTCTTAAGTTCTCTAAATCTGAAGATTGCCGCTGTGAATATGGAGGGAGAGACTAAAGGAATGAGGGAGTTTAGGAAAAAGAGTCTGAAAATCATGAATTAACCGAGTAGAATTAGGACTTAAATCCAAGGTTCCCAGTATCGTAATTCTAGTGACTTCCTTGGGGCGGCTAGGTGGGCAGTGGATAGAGCTCTGGGCCTGGAGTCAGAATGACTCATCTTCCTGAGTTCAAATCTAGCCTCAGATACTTACTGTCTGTGTGACCCTGCGCAAGTCACTTAACCCTGTTTGCCTTAGTTTCCTCATCTGTAAAATGGCAAACCACTCCAGTATCTTTGGCAGGAAAATCCCAAATGGGGGGGAAGGGGAAGAATCACACACAGCTGAAATGACTGAATAACAAGAATGAGACTTCTTTGATGGACTGGAGAAGAATTCAGCTCAAAAAGGTCATCTGACCTGGAATGGAAAAAGAGAGAACCAGTACCTATCTTTAAATCAGTAGTTTAAAAAAGAAAAAGCCTACCTTAGATAAACCTATGATGATAAATATATAAACATATAATACATAAATAAAGATGAAAGTGGCCCCCCCTTTTTTTCAATCATCAGAATTCTGCCTCCTTCCTGTTTCACCTCACCCCCCACTAGATTGTACTTGAAAATCTCAGGTGTATCATGCTTGTCCTCTTGGGGATTCCTCTCACTGTTGGATTTCTAGGACCACACTGTTGGATTAGGTTTAGGTCACACATTTGCTTTGTTGTCAAATATTGCTGGTGCTTTTGTTCTTATTAGAGCCTTCAGTGGTGTGTGGGTGCATGTTCCTTAGAATTTGGATGTGATACGTAAGGAGTTGGGGGTGGGTTTTTTTAATTTGTTTTAAGGTTTAGACTTTTATCTCTTTTGTGAGCTTTGGTAGGTGTAGGAGTGTATTTTCTGTAACATTAACATGTAATCCTGCCTCTGTTTTCTTTTCATACCTAGATTCTTCAGAAACCAACACCAGAACTAAAGCATCAGTTGGCAGCTTTCTCTAAGCGAGTGGCAGGTGCTGTGACCGAGCTCATCCAGGCAGCAGAAGCCATGAAAGGTGGGTTTGATTCTCTCTCATTATCCCACCCTAGGTTGACAACACTCATTCTCATGATAAGAGGGTTTGTTTGCGGTTTTGTTTTGGTCATTTGCTAGCCTTAAAGAAAATCCACTTCCTGAATGTCCTGTTTGAAAGAGAATCTCTCACACTTGTAGAAATTAAGATTAGAGAAATTCAAGAAATAACAAGGTTGGAATATGTCTTTTTTTAGGACAAGCCTTCTCCTCCCTCTCTGTACCCCATGTACCTTTTTATAAAGAAGAGCCAATTTAAAACCCTTTCCCCTATGATTGATTCTGTCATTTATTTTATATATATTTTCATCCAAAGTCTAGGAATAAGAGTAGTCAATGGACCTGTGAATTCACTGTTGTGGGAAATCTCTTCTACTGTTGCAGGCTGGCCACTTTGCAATTTGTGGTCATAGAGAGTTGCTTAAAGGGAGGGAAGGTAAAAATAAGCATTTTTAAACACCTGCTATATGCCATGCAGCATGTTAAGTGCTTTACATTTATTATCTCATTTGATCCTCACAACAACCCTGGGGGGTAGGTAGGTGCTGTTTTTCCTCTTTATCCCCATTATGCCCATTTTACATTTGAGGAAGCTGAGGCAAATAGAGTGACTTGCCCAGGGTCACACAGCTAGAAAGAGTCTGAGGCCAGATTTGAACTCTGATCATCTTGACTGCAGGGCCCTACAGCTAGTATGTGTCAGAGGCACGACTTGAATCCATGTCTTCCTGGCTTCTAGGTCAGTTTTCTATCCACTATGCCACATTGTCCTCAAAGACCTGAATTGCCAAAAAATATGCCAGCCAATTTAATTCGGAGTACTGCTTTTCTAGCAAACTCCTCTGTGCTTTTCAACTTTCAGTCTAACTTTATATTTGTAGATCAGGGTTTCATCTCAGGCACTGTTTAGAAAAATGGAAGTAAAGCATTCCTGGGGCTGATCTATCATTTCGGGCCGGTTTTATTCCAGTGTCAAGGTATCTGGACTTCCTAGAACTCTCAGCTGAAGGTAGTAGCAGGATCCCACAAAAAGACAGTCTTGGGGTTTTTGTGAGCTTGTTTGCCATGGTTCTTACTGATGACTGCTCCTAGAAATCTTTGTACAAGAAGTGATATCAAAAGCAGAGGTTTACCCAAGATACTCATGTAATTAAGCCCTCTCTCTTTGAAACCGGAGGCATTAAATGAGATCAGAAGAAACTAAATCCAGTTCCAGGAGACCATCAGAGTTCTACCATGTTGCACCCCCTGGTCTTTGCAGATGTTTGTGTTGAGTGTCAGCAGTAGACCAAGAACTATGACTACCAAGCATGATGATGTTTTGGACTCGTTTCAGGTACGGAGTGGGTAGATCCGGAAGACCCGACAGTCATTGCTGAAACCGAATTACTGGGGGCTGCAGCATCAATTGAGGCTGCAGCTAAGAAGTTAGAACAACTGAAGCCAAGAGCTAAACCAAAAGTGAGTGTCTATCCACTTTTACTTCTGTGACATCAACAGGGTGACCTCATGATTCCAGAAATGGGGAGGTGGGAGAGGGACAGGGAGGGCAGGTATGCTACTGTAGACATCCAGCTTGTCCACTTCCATGTCATCGAGACTGTGAATCGGATCAGTAACTTTTTCATAGTATAGAATTCCTTCTATCTCATACATAGAAATATTTGTAAAATGCTTTCCTGAGACTAATGAAAGGTCAGAAGCTACCAGGTTTATTATGAATTCCATGATTTTCATGACTTTTTTGCAGAAGGAAAGTACAACCTTGATAACATCGCTAGAGAAGGAAGCTAAGCAGTGCTGGGTCTGTCTTTCAAGTTTAATCCAGAGAGTCCCGGTCCTAAATGAGTCATTTGTAAATGTCTTCTTCCACAAAGGATAATTAAGAAACTGGAATTTAAAGTTTTCCTTCTGTTTTTGCTTATTGATAGACATTAGAATTTAAGGTCACATATGTCTGGGTGTGACAAGGGAGATGGGAAAGGGAGAGGGAAAAGAGAGAGAAAACTTCATTTACAGAGTGAACTGACTACTTGTGTTCAAAAAGGACTATAGAGAGAAGGAAGATCTGAAGTTGAAAAACTATATACAAATATAGCTTAGGGGTCTCCAAGTGGTTAATTGGCTTCACTTGTTCCATCATAAATTAATAATCACTGCCTTCCCACCCACCATGGACAGGTCCAGCAAAGAACATACTAGTGGTTAAGATCACCCTCCATGTTTCTTATTAGGATCCTCACTCTCAGCACCTCTTAGCTTCCTTGACCATGAGACTTCCAAAAATAATAAGTAGCTTCTCTGCACAGAAAGGTTGGGGACCCAAGCCTGAATAGTTCAAAACAGGCTCTCCACTCTTACACTGTCTCTCCACCCTTTCACGGAAGGTATAAATACAAAATACTACATCGGTCTCCTCAAGGAAAAGGTTAGTGACCAATGTAGTATATAAACATCTATCACCATTTAATGAGTTTTTTAAGATTGGTGACATTTCCCAAAGCAGTCAAGTTTTTTACAGTTCTCTTCTAAACCAAACAAATGTCTACCTGACCTAAGAAAAACCTTCAAAAAAAACAATAAATACTTTAAGATGACTTAGTAGTTTAGGATTTTAGTTTCTTCAGTTTGTCATGAAATCCTATTTCTCCCAAGTGGTCTCCATCCTAAAGAGATTGTGAGATGTCTGGGGAAAGTTATCGTTTTTCTTTCAAATTCAAACAGCAAAGTATAAGAAAAAAGTCTCCTTTTCTTTGTTTTCTGGTTTGTTGAAAATTACCAGTTTCTTTTAAAGCCACCAGCTTTCTGCTTTTTTTTTCCTTTTAAAAAGTTGTCCTTAGTTCTTTTCTGGTTCTGAATTTCAGTTGTTGGTTTTTTTCCATCTAATTGACATTCACCTGACATGTCATTTCACTTGATTTAGGGAGGATGAGATCCATGGATTTGAATACCATGGCATTTGAGCTCCTCATGGTGGCAATGAGAACAGAGTTCTAGCCAATTGGAATTCATCTTGACAGGGGTGGGACAACCTCCACAAAGCAGGCCAGGTAATTGAACATGATACCAGGCCACCAGGAAAGTTTCTAGAAACTGTTGCTTTATCTGCCTGCTTTATCCTATATAGAAAATTGCCATAAATCCATAGTATCCTGGAGAAAATGTCTGTTTGGCCTCTGGAGCAGTCCAGTTGACTAATGAATGACTGAAAAAAGCCAGCAATCCAGTGTGAATACAGACACAGTTGTATTCTACTGCTCCCTTCATACATCCAGTTGTATTTTAAAATTTTTGCTGTATTTAGTAGCATCAGTGGACCAAAGGCTGTAGTTCCTTAGAGTCACAATGTCTTAGACTCATTTCAGAAACAAAAGAGGCAGGTCTAGAAGATCTGAAGTTATTAAAAACGCCAAATTATGGTAGATGGGGATGGTCCTACTTCCTATCCCCAAAAAACTGTTAAAAGTATAAGTTACTTCATAGGTCTTCTGGGAAATTCCAGATTAATCTATGAGGCAGTCCAAGTGATCATTGTTCAGAAAATTTAGTACCTTTGGGTACCAAATTAAGAAAGCTTCTCCAGATTGTAGTTCAGGCCTCTACCCATTATTTTCTTTGCAGATGTTGCTACAGATGTCACATTTAATGTAATGGTTTCTATACCAAAGCAACAAATGTATTTAACTAGAGTGCAAGTCATAATTTAAGTGGTTGATGTGAGTCTTTACCCTCGTGCTACATATTTGAGGTCAGGTACCCCAGTAACAAGAGTATATTGTTACTCAGGGCTAGCTGTATTTTCAGTGATCCAAAGCCAGTCCCTGCTCTCCAAATAGATGGTGGGAAAGTTTTGATTCAGAGCCTTTCACGTGTCTTATGTTATGTACTTAATCATTTTTGAGAAACTACTTACCCAAACCATAATATCCTAATCTGTCTTAGAGAATCATCTGCTTTCTTTGCTTTACACTAACGTCTATATAAAATAAAATACGTTCACCTAGGGAGATTTCTCAAGTGGAAGAAAGTAAATAAATGTCCAAAAACTTTTAAGTTTTTCGTTTTTTGTACTTCTTTTTCTACCTCCTTGTTTCCACTCTCTCAACTCCACTCATCATCTCTCTCTAACCTCCTTTTTTTAGTTTAAACTTTTTTTCAGAAATATTTTAATAATCAGTTTTTGTAAAGTTTCAACCTTTAAGAAAACAAATATTCACACACAGTATAAGATTAATATTCATTTTCACTGTTTATGGGGAAATGTGTTTGGTCTACCATAATGGGCCCTGAACATCTGATGGGTGCTAGTTATTTCCATGCATACAGTTGGGCATGTCCTTTGATGATATGAACCACCTTTGGGAAGGTGAAGTTGTTGGTGAAATTACTCTGCTTGCCATGTGCTCAAAATGCCTATTTTTAGGGTGTAATGGTCCTTGACTTGTGAAGATGCTGCCTGGTACACTCCCAGCTCAGATTCTTAAAATTTAAACATCTCTTTTTGCATTCGATCTTCTGAAGAAGAACAAAAAAAAAATTCATTTTGCTGAATTAACTTTTTAATTGAAAATGTGGTATGATGATGGAATAAAAAATGTTAGAGAGCTTACGCATGTACATATTGCTAATAGTGCTATTTCCACACTCACAGATAGGCTTATGCCTCCAAAGACAGGTAAAGAAGTTGCGTCTCTAGTAGCTGATGACCATTCCCTGCTGTCGTAGTCTTCAGTTCTGTGTCCATTTTCAAGCTCAATCAAACCTGGATGCCTTTTCTGCAGGCCTCTGTGTGATATGTTTGATATATTAGGTTGTTATTTAATCCAACTATATATCAAACATATTCCTACAGTGTCCTGCCCTGTCTCCGGGGGTTCATAATATAGTACCTAAGGCAACAGGGAGGAGTATTTTAAGGTCACAAGGATATTTAGAAGACTTCAGATTCTTATTCTTATATTATGTTGTAGAAATATGGAATATTCCATTCATTTGGGTTGTGCTTGGGAACTGTATCAGTGTTGCAAGATTTTTTTATTATAGATACAAATCACATAATTATTAGAGCTTCCTCAGGAATTTAGGGTTCAAGGAATTATATTTCATAGATCTCTACACTAGCAAATTCTCAGGGTTGTATCTACAGTGACAAAAAAGATAGTGGAAGTAATCCAGCTAGCACCTTCTTGTTTCAGGTGATAAAGATCAGTATTATTGCCACCAAACATAAGTGATTTCTTTTTTTCTTTTTTCATTCAATTTATTCCTTTTCCGGTCCTCGGATTAATCTCCGGAGTATTACTGTCTCAAAATTTTAACCAGAATATAAGGGGATGAAAACTCAACCAAAAACACCTAATTGCTTTTAACATCAGGTAGCAAAAAGTAAAACATCCAATTGCCCTATGATTTGTTGTAGCTTTACAATGACAGTTTGATGGGAATCTTTGTAGTATCTTAGAAGCTCAGATTTGTAAAGGACCACAGAGGTCATCTAGAACAACCTAAAAAAGGGTTAAGCTCTAGTAAGTTTAATAAAAATAGTGCAACATTAATAATGGTTCATCTAGTGAATTTCCTGGACTGGTATAGCTTACCATTAGTAACCCTGTTACTAAGCAGAGGCTGACAAACAATCTGTTATAAAAGAAAGTTTGGGATTCAGATCTTTTAGAAATTTTCTTTCCCTTGTACACAGGAGTCTCCTGGAAATAACTTTGTTCCTTTTCCTTTCAGAGAAAAAAGCAAAGTCTTGTTTGTTCTTCAGAGTTAGCTTCAGAATTTATTACTGCTATATTATGTATAAAGGGATCTGGTTTGCCGATAACAAAACAAAATGAGGAGAAAAATGATTTTTAAAAAGAAAATTCCTAAAGAATCGTGTGCATTTGGATAATAAAAGTGAAATAGTCAGCGTTAGCATACATTTACGGACATGGCATAAGATAGACATATTCTCTTAACATTCTTTAACATCTGAAATTATTTGGTCTCAATGTTATAAAATGTGATCTCTACTGGGCCTCTCAATAGTATGTATTCTTGGCTCTTCCTGCTTCCTGGCATAGAGGATGGCTTTTCTAAACTCCTTGAGCCCCACTGAGACAATAATAAATGCCTTATTTCTTTAATTTTTTTTAAAGAAAATTTTAAAACTTGTCTGAGGTGCTATGTTGTCAAAACTTAAGGCCATCTTCATTTCATCAGTAAACAACTTCCTAGAGTTTTTGTCACTTGGCTACAGTCATTTAGCCAAAGTAACTGTCTTCCTATGAAATTCTTTGAGCAAGTGGTTATCTAAAATCAAGGCAGTGAATTATACTGGTGAGCTATTTTTTTTTAATCTAAAATTAACAAATCAGGTTGAGAGGATGCTGAGGAAAACCTTTTATTTGAAATAAATTACCTTTCTTTTGTATCCTTAATGCTTCTAAGGTGAATGGAAATAGCGCACAAGGAGG